AACTTAATATAAAGGATTTAAAAATATATTCGCCTGTGGAGGACGCGGGGATCGATCCCGCGACCTTTGACATGGGAAGCGAGGGTGCTACCACCTGCGCTACTCCACCACGGCCTGTGGAGGGGTTACGCTCTGGGCTCTTATACTGTGACGTTCAGCCAAAGCCATGAATGCGTTCTGTTTGAATATATGTAAAATAATTTTTTTTGCCTAAAAAGTGGAAAATTTTGGGAATTTTTTTTCACGAACAATAATTGTCTGGCACAACGAGTCTGTGTGGAAAATGTCAGCTCGATTGGATCACGGGAAGTGGGTTAAAAAACGACCGAAAGATTTGCACGGTCCTAAGCAAGCAAGCAAGCACGCGAACTTAATATAAAGGATTTAAAAAAAAAACAATAATTATGTTTATTTTACTAAGTGTGAGGCCCTACTGAGCTGTGTCGCTATTTTCAAAAGCTGGGCATCACAAATGATATCAACTCAGCCAAGTGGCTGATACCATCATCATCATCACGTGGAAATGTATAGCAGTGAGTGAATGAGTTAAGGATTGAATGGATGAGTGAATGAGTGAGTGGGTGAGAGTGAATGAGTAAGCGGATGAGTGCGTGAATGAATGAGTGAGTGAATGAGTGAGTCGGTAAGTGAGCGAATAAGTGAGTGGGTGAGTCAGTGAATGAGTGGCTCGGTGAGTATGTATGTGGATGGGTGAGTGAATGAGTGGATGGGTGAGTGAGTAGATTGGTGAGTGAATGGGTAAGTGGATGAGCGAGTGAATAGGGGGGTGGAGGAAGTGGAGCGTGAGCAGGAGGGGGGGGGGGGGGGTGAGCAGGGGGGGGGGGGACCGGGTTCCCTGTTGCTGCTGCTGCTGATGATGATGACGACGATGATGTAGCCACTACTTCGTGCCGTCACGAATGGAGCTGTTCCAAGACACAGCGATGGTCAAAGTACAGGAGGGGCAAATGGTTAACGCGTGGATGCATTCACACGCGCAGCACAGTAAATGTTGCGAGTGAGCCGGTGAGTGGGTGGATAAGTGAGTGAATGAGTTGAGTGGGTGATGGAATTGGTGAGTGAACGAGTGAGTGAATGAGTGAGTGGGTGATTGAATGGGTGAGTGAATGATTGAGTGGGTGATTGACTGGGTGAGTGAGTGAATGAGTGAGTGAGTGAATGGGTGAGTGAATGAGTGGATGGGTGATAAAATGGTTGATTAAATGGGTGAGTGCATGAGTGAATGGGTGAGCGAGTGAATGAGTAAATGGGTGATTGAAAGAGTGAGTGGGTGAGTGAATGAGTGAGTGGGTGATTGACTGGGTGAGTGAGTGAATGAGTGAGTGAATGGGTGATTGAATTGGTGAGTGAACTAGTGAGTGAATGAGTGAGTGAAAGAGTGAGTGGGTGATTTAATGGGTGAGCGAATGAGTGAGTGGGTGATTGACTGGGTGAGTGAGTGAATGAGTGAGTGAGTGAATGAGTGAGTGAGTGAATGGTTGAGTGAATGAGTGAGTGGGTGATAAAATGGGTGATTAAATGGGTGAGTGAATGAGTGAGTGAATGAGTGAGTGCATGAGTGAATGGGTGAGCGAGTGAATGAGTGAATGAGTGAGTGGGTGATTGACTGGGTGAGTAAGTGAATGAGTGAGTGAGTGAATGGGTGATTGAATCGGTGAGTGAAAGAGTGGGTGATTTAATGGGTGAGCAAATGAGTGAGTGGGTGATTGACTGGGTGAGTGAGTGAATGAGTGAGTGATTGAGTGAATGAGTGAGTGGGTGATTGACTGGGTGAGTGAGTGAATGAGTGAGTGAATGAGTGAGTGATTGCGTGAATGAGTGAGTGGGTGATTGACTGGGTGAGTGAGTGAATGAGTGAGTGATTGAGTGAATGAGTGAGTGGGTGATTGACTGGGTGAGTGAGTGAATGAGTGAGTGATTGAGTGAATGAGTGAGTGGGTGATTGACTGGGTGAGTGAGTGAATGAGTGAGTGATTGAGTGAATGAGTGAGTGGGTGATTGACTGGGTGAGTGAATGAGTGAGTGAATGGATAGGTGAGTGAGCGTTCGCCGTTACTGCGACTGATGATGTAACCACAACAAAATGAGTCGTTACCACAGACAGCGTCAAGCAGAGGGTTCATGTGTGGAGATGTAAACAAGTTGACGTCACTTTGGTGGCGGTCGCACGAACCCCACAGTGAATGGTGCGAGGGTGAGCGGGTGAGTGAATGGGTGAGTCGTTGAGTTATTGGGTGGGTGAGTGAGTGGATGAGTGAACTGGTGAGTGATTTAGTGAGTGAACGGGTGAGTGTGTGAGTGATTTGGTGGGTGGGCGGGTGGGTGAGTGGGTGGATGAGTGAGTGATTCGGCGAGATAATGGGTGAGTGGGTGTCTGATTGGGTGAGTGGGCGAGTGAGAGGGTGAGTGTGTGGGTGAGTGAGTGGGTAAGTGAATGGGTAAGTGGGTGAGTGAGTGGGTGAGTGGGTCGTTGAGTGGGTGGATGAGTGAGTGATTCAGCGAGTGAATGGGTGAGTGAGTATGTAAATGAAAGGGTGAGTGAGCCTGTGAGTGAATAGATGAGTGGGTAATTGAGCGGGTGAGTAGGTGAGTGAGTGGGAGGATGAGTGAGTGAGCGATTCAATGTGTTTATGGATGAGTGGGCGAGTGAATGGGTGAGTGTGTGGTTGAGCAATCAACAATAAAAACTCGATTTGACTACATCATAAACTCTCTAACAATCTACAAGTTTATTATTAACCGGTAATGCCCCAGGGAGCTGATGTGTTAGTAATTTTTTGCGGAAGCGGTCTGGGCCATCATGAATGATAGCAGATCAACGAAGTGGCTCACACCATCATCATCATCATCACCATACATACCTACAGAGACCATATACACCTATAGAGATAAATAAAGACACATATAGGCCCATAGATACCTATAGAGATCCATACAAACCATAGAGATCCATAGATACTGATGTCAATCAATAGAGACCCATAGATATCCATACATACCGATAGAGACCCATAGAGATCTACAGAGACCTATACAGACATATAGGGACCCACAGAGACCTATAAAGACCCACGCAGACCTATAGAGACCACAGAAACCTATAGAGACCCCATGAAGACAGAGATCCACAGACACCCATGGAGATCCATGGAGACCCATAGCGATACACACACAGAGACACTCACCCATCGTCCAATACTGAGATGGAAATTAAACTACGATTCAACAAATGATCTCCCAGCAGTAGCAGCAGCAGCTCACAAACAGTCACGGCCCCCCAAAAATCCACGGCACGACCATCCTGGATTCGTCAATCAACAATCACAATAATCTTTGGTATAGTGTATAGCAGATTGTATAATAATAAATAGCATAAAAGTGTAATGTTTAATACAATGTATAAGGTAGTATATAGTATCGTAATTGTATAGTGAATATACAACAGTGTGGTATACAGTAGGGTGGGTAGAATAATAGATAGTGTAATATTACAATGTATAGTCTATAAGCATATTAGTTGCTGCAGCTCCATACTATTAACATTCCTTCCCTTTATTAATGCTAACCCTACTCCCTCCCTTTGATGCTGCTAATCCTGCATAATGCACAGGCATAATATGACTATGAAACCCCCCCCCCCCCCATCTCCTACGCATTCCACAAGTAGTAACTAATCCCATATATGCATCTCCCATAAATATGCAAATTCCTTTGTCAAGGCGCTCTTCCCCCTTCTAACCCAGCTTAAATATACGCTGCCAAGCTTGGTGGTGCCCATTCAGACGCTGTCTTTCCGACAGACCTGTTCTTCACCTGAGGACGGCTGCTTGCGTTGTGGCCGAAACGTCGTGAGAACTATTTTATTATGTTTTATTTTTATTATTTTATTATTTCCCTTCTACGTGACTTTACCGAAAGAACCAAGAAGATGAATCCCTGCAGTCACGAAAGCTTTAAATCAAAATATTTTGTTCTTTCGGTAAAGTCACGTATAAGGTATAAACTAAATTACATCGCGACGTTTCGATCGCAGCACAAGCGATCGTCCTCGGGCAGGAACAAATAGAATCCAGCAGTGCAACTGCTGAACCGTGATTTATTTTATTTTTCTACCTACGTGACGTTACCGAAAGAACCAAAGATGAGTGTGATTGTTGAGTCACGAAAGCTTCAAATCTAGACAATTACAATAATACTCAGAATGATCACAATATTAGTTGAACACGTAGGAGGAGGAGAGCCTTCATAGTAGAGGTTTTTTGTTTGGGTTGTATCGCTTAAATTTACGATGTTGTGTCGTTAAACCTGCCACCACCCGACAAAGCCAGGTAAAATTTCGATTGAAAGCTTTCGTGACTGCAGGGATTCATCTTATTGGTTCTTTAGGTAAAGTCACGTAGAAGGGAAATAATAAAATAGTAAAAATAAAACATAATAAAATAATATAAGAATATAATATAATTACTTATTTTATTATGCTTTTTTAAATTTCCCTTCTACGTGACTTTACCGAAAGAACCAAGAAAAGCCAGGTAAGTATTTTTTCACCTGACAACGGTTATTATTTTTCTACCGATGTGACTTCAGCGAAAGACCCAAACAGTCATGAAAGCTTTAAGTCAAGGTTTTTTTTTATCGTTTTCATTACTTGGGCAGTAGTAAATGTTGTTGTGGGTTTTACTCTCCAAAACACACAACCGGTTAATGCTGTACTAGTACACTACAATACACTACTACACTATACACTACAACACTATACACTACACTATACACTATAATAGTAAATGTTGTTGTGGGTTTTACTCTCCAACACACACAACCGGTTAATGCTGTACTAGTACACTACAATACACTACTACACTATACACTACAACACTATACACTACACATTACACTACACTATACACTACACTACTATACACTACTACACTATACACTACACATTACACTACACTATACACTATAATAGTAAATGTTGTCGTGGGTTTACTCTCCAACACACACAACCGGTTAATGTTGTACTAGTAAACTACACTACACTACTATACACTACACTATAAACTACTATATACTACAATACACTATACACTACACTATACGGGTGGAATCCGATGATCCGCCAAGCGCTTTGTCAATGGTCCGCCCACTCGTTCCGCTGGCATCACTAAACAACGTTCACGGATTGTTCCACAACCCAGGTGCTTTTCTTGCCAGGGGGTGGAGATAGAGCGAAATTAAGAGGAAACGACATCGGGGTTTTCGAGTGAACTGGGGGCGTTGAGTTTATAAACAGCGGTGGAGCTCAGTGCTGTCACGGTCGTGCACGGAGAAAGGTTCGTGGTGCGGGTGTCAGTGTGCTGACAGATCGAGAGGTAGACACGCACAGAGAGAGAGAAAGAGAGACACGGAAAGAGAGAGTGAGAGACACACACACATAGAGACATAGAGAGAGAGAGAGACAGAGAGACACACACACACTGAAAGAGAGAGACAGAGAGAGATACGCAGAGAGAGACACACACAGACACAAAGACACACACATACCGAAAGAGAGACAGAGAGAGAGACACACAGAGACACACACACACTGAAAGAGAGAGATAGAGAGATACGCAGAGAGAGAGACACACACACAGAGACACACAAAGACACACACATACCGAAAGAGAGACAGAGAGAGACACACACACATACAGACACACAGACAGAGACACAGACACAGCGAGAGAGACACAGAGCGAGAGACAGACACACAGAGAGAGAGAGATACACACAGACACAGATACACAGAGAGAGAGACACACAGAGAGAGAGACACACACACACAGAGACACACAGAGAGACACTGATACTGCTATAACAGCTGCTACTGCTGTTATCACTGCTGCTACAGCTGCTACAGCTACTACTGCTGCTACTACTATTGCTGCTACAGCTGCTACTTCTCCTGCTGCAACAGCTGCTACTACTACAGCTGCTACTACTACTGCTGCAACAGCTGCTACCACTGCTGCTGCCACAGCTGCTGTAACTGCTGTCACTGCTGCTACAGCTGCTGCGACTGCTGCAAATGCCCGCGGAGCATCTGGGGACCGTCCGACCGCGCCTCCTGCTGCAGCTGCCGCTGCTGCCCATGAAGACTGCGGCGACTGCAGCAGCAGCAGTAGCGCCACGTGAGTGACGAGGGGGCGACATGGCGTGGCCGGCCACGCTCGCAGGTGAGTGGTGAGTGTGTCTGGTGAGCGGTGAGTGTGAGCGGTGAGTGTGTCTGGTGAGTGTGAATGGTGAGTGGTGTGTCCGGTGAGTGGTGAGTGTGTCTGGTGAGCGGTGAGTGTGAATGGTGAGCGGTGAGTGTGAATGGTGAGTGTGAATGGTGAGTGGTGAGTGTGAATGGTGAGTGGTGAGTGTATCTGGTGAGTGGTGAGTGTGAATGGTGAGCGGTGAGTGCGTCTGGTGAGCGGTGAGTGTGAATGGTGAGCGGTTAGTGTGAATGGTGAGTGGTGAGTGTGTCTGGTGAGTGGTGAGTGTGAATGGTGAGTGTGTCTGGTGAGCAGTGAGTGTGAATGGTGAGCGGTGAGTGTGAATGGTGAGCGGTGAGTGTTAATGGTGAGTGGTGAGTGTGAATGGTGAGTAGTGAGTGTGTCTACAAATAGGGTGCGGGATCGAACCCACGACCTCCTGTGTATCAGGCGAGGTAGTCAACATCTCATAACCACTGTGATGATGATGATGAGAGAGACGCAGACTCCACATATACAGCAGCAGGCATCGTCAGGGTCGAGACGCAGACTCCACATAGGGGCCGGCCATAAATGACGTCACACACCTAGGGGGGGGGGAGGGGGGTCAGACATTTGTGACGATGTGTGACGAGGGGGGGGGGGGTTGAGAAATGTGACGTCGCATCAAAATGCGCAACTTAAAATAAATATAAACAATAGAATTGTTATAACAACAATTTTCATTATTAACTATTTGATTATTTAAATTTACTAAGGTCACCTTTTATTTATTCCATGAAGAAGCATTTTGCTTCTCAATGGGAGAATGGAGAAGCATACATTTTGTAATTTTTTTGAATGATTATTATTAAACATTTTTATTTTAATGATTCTACCAGGGCTTTTCATTCTGAGGTATGAATATGTGATTGTTATAATTGTACTCTCCATTTTGCTTCGTTCCACTACAAAGTTTCAAGCATTTTTGTTATAGTTATAATTATTTTTTATATTTTATAATTATAACATAATTTCAATATAATATTCTGAACATCTGCAGTTTCATTAGACGTTGAATATTTTCAAGTGAATTCTATGCTAAATTTCAGCTTTCCAACGCCTCCTTTTTAATAAATGTTTTCTCCTACAACATCAAAGTGCAGCGCCACATTAAATACGCACTACAATGACAATCGTTTAAAGTGATTTGAAGCATGTTTTATTTTATAAATATAAATATGCTTTTGGGGGGGGCAGAGCTTTATGACGTCATATTTGAGAGGGGTCTGACTTTTTGTGATGCCGTGTGACGAGGGGACGAGGGGGGGTCAAAATCGGCCAAAACCGCGTGACGTCATTTATGGACGGCCCCATTCACAGCAGCAGGCATCGACAGGGTCGGGTTCAAACCCAGGACCTCCTGTACACCAGGCGAGGTAGTCAACATCTCCCTGGCCACCCTGTCTGTACACGCACTTACCTGGAGGCGAGGTCATATCCCGAAAGACCTTCACCCCGGGATTACCCCGCTCACAAATACATCGTGGGGTTTCCCCACAGTACAGACAAAGGTTCCCCGTACAGCCTTTAACAACACACTGTTAGGGGGCAAGTGCTGTCAGCGAGTAGCAGCACCGATGACGGAAGGCACTGGTGGTACACGAGGGGGGGTGGGTGGCCGAGACTCACAGAGATCTATAAAGACCCACATAAACCCACAGAGACCCATACTTATCGAAATCCATACTCACAGAGACCCATACATATCCACAGAGACCCATACTCACAGAGACCCACAGAGATCCACAGAGACCCACTTAAACCCACAGAGACCCATACTTATCGAAATCCATACTCACATAAATCCATATAGATCCACAGAGACCCATACACACAGAGACCCACAGAGATCCACTTACACCCACAGAAACCCACAGAGACCCATACTCACAGAGACCCACAGAGACCCACTTAAACCCACAGAGACCCATATTTATCGAAATCCATACTCACAGAGATCCGTATAGTTCCACATAGACCCATACTCACAGAGACCCACAGAGACACACAGAGACCCATACTCACAGAGACCCACAGAGATCCAAACTTATCGAAATCCATACTCACAGAGACCTACAGAAACCCAGTGTTCGACCAGAGGACGCCAAAAGGCGATCAGCACACAGGCAATGCCACAATCAGGAGATTGAGAGCTCGGGGTTAGCAGCTACAATATGAGACGAGGCTCTAAAGAAAGCTGTCTCTGGTGTGGAGCAATCAGTTTCAAAGACAATGTATCATCATCATCATCATATATTACCAGAACATGTTTTGTTTGTGTGTTCATTACCAGTATGTGTGTGGTTAATCCAGACACGATTCCTGGCAAAATGTTTCAGTTTTGTGTTGTAACATCTTAACAGAAAAGGTAAACTTTAAAACGTAGGCTTTCGCGACCAATATTATTCATAATCAACGTTTTTGGGTTAGATCGCGTTACTTATAAAATTGTAAATGTTGTGGTTTCACGCTTCAACACACCGGTGGGCTAAAGTAGTGAACTATTTGTCTTTTGTCAACGTGACACTTTTTTTTGCTGATTGGCCGTGTCGGGTGGTGGAGGGTTACGACACATTTATAAGTAACGCGATCTGACCCAAAAACGTTGATTATATTATGAAGAAAGGGTAAAACCTATTCGTATATATTGATACTGGCAAGAGAGGTGCCCCATGGGATGGAGATGAGGCCGCACACTCTGCTGTACCGCCACCTCCTGGTAGAGCCAGGGAGGAGGGTTCGTTGTCGACACCCACCCATGGGGAAGAAGAACGGAATGTGTTTCACATCATCATCATCTATCAGAGGTCGCAACCGGGTACCCGATACCCGTACCCTACCCGATACCCGGCTACCCGTACCCAGGTACGGGTACCCGTTTGCGACCCTGGTGCGGCCGGGTACGGGTAGGCCGTGAGTCACTGGTGAGTCACCGTTTGTCACTCATTTCCCAACGTCTTGTCTCTTCTCACAATTCAAGTTCCTAGAATCAACCCACCCGCGCCTGCAACATGGCTTCATCCCAGAGGTCGCAATCAGGTACGAGATACCCGTACCCTACCCGTACCCGGCCGGGTACGGGTAGGGTACGGCCGGGTACGGGTACCCGTTTGCGACCCTGGTGCGGCCGGGTACGGGTAAGAAATCAAAACCCGTTTGCGACCTCTGCTAACTATATATAAAAGGCAAATTTGTGATTATGTGTGTCTGTTCAAAATGTTTAGCGTACTTCCCGACATGCAACAAACTTGAAATTTGCCATGTGTGTACTTTCCAGACTGTGCACCATGCAAAAAATATAAAAATAGACTTTTGTATATTTTTGGGGGGGGGGGCGCAATAATGCATATATTTTGCACGGCAAGTGAGCTGTGACGTCACATCTGTCATGTGACCCGTGTGCGGAAGCGCAACGGAGTGTGCCTGCTGATCGCGGGTAAAGTGAAATACAAATGTGTTGCAGGTCTAAGGCGTTCTTCGCGCAGCATTACTGCCTTATTATTTCAGTTGTTAACTGCCGTACGCACCATAAAAGTTGTGTGTGTCTGCAGCAAGCGCGTGTATGTGTACCTATGGACGCGCACGTGCGCGTGTGTGTGTGGGGAGTGGCAGTGTAGTGGTTATCGCGCTGCACTACGAACCCGGCGACCCGAATTCGATTCCCGCTCACGGCCAACACCAGTGACGATTATCTGAACCGCTCCTGGGCCTCCCCTAGGTCGATTCAGACTAAAATTAGCACCTGGTTTGATGTGTTAACATCGCCACTAGGAAGACAAATGCTGCCTGGCGTGGTGATGGCCACCCGCCCCCTCGTGTGCCGTGCCGGCCTTTATAGGTGCTAACAGCACTTGCCCCAACATTCCGTTTAAGGCTACACGGGGGATCTTTGTCTTGGTTTGTGCTGCATGTGCCCCTCGCTCAGTGACCGTGGTGCTGGTCTCCACCATCTGGGCCCACGACGCCCACTTCAACGAATCCGTGACATTGGGGTCCAACGTGACGCTGCCCTGCTACTTTGAGCCGCGCAAGGCCGCCAACAATGTGATCAGTGTGCTGTGGAAGCTGAACGACTGCATCCCGGTAAGACAGAAAAGCCGGGGGGGGGGGGGGGGGGTTATGAAACTGAGCAGGATTTTGTATGCATGTGTGGTGGTGGTATTGATGCACACACACACCAAACCGTCCGACATAAAATACTTAGCGGTGCTGGTGATCGTGTCATCTCTGGCCAGGCTTCCTGAGGGAAGGGGGGCTGTGGGACGCGTGTGATCCCACAGAAACCCGCCCCTCGGTGGGAAATCGTATAAGAAGAAGCAGTGAAGACTGCTTCTTCGTCTTGGCCGATTCCAAACGTGTTGTACGACGTGTACACTAAACACGGGGAATAGCTTAAAAAGTTGTATAATCTCTTGTAGATGCCACTGGTTCTTCATGTTCTGCAGATGTAGATGCCACTGGTTATTCACGTTTTGCAGATGTGGATGCCACTGGTTCTTCATGTTCTGCAGATGTAGATGCCACTGGTTTTTTACGTTCTACAGATGTAGATGCCACCAGTTTTTCTGATTTTGCAGATGAAGATGCCACTGGTTCTTCACGTTCTGCAGAGGTAGATGCCACTGGTTCTTCACGTTCTGTAGATGTAGATGCCACTAGCTCTTCATGTTTTGCAGATGTAGATGCCACTGGTTCTTCACGTTCTGCAGATGTAGATGCCACTGGTTCTTCACTTTCTGCAGATGTAGATGCCACGGTTTCTTCACATTCTGTAGATACCACTGGTTCTTCATGTTCTGTAGATGTAGATACCACTGGTTCTTCATGTTTTGCCGATGTAGATGCCACTGGTTCTTCAAGTTCTGCAGATGTAGATGCCACTGGTTCTTCATGTTCCGCAGATATAGATGCCACTGGTTCTTAAAGTTCTGCAGATGTAGATGCCACTGGTTCTTCACCTTCTGCAGATGTAGATGCCACCACCATCTATCGCGCGGCGCAGTTGAACGTACAAATCTCGGTCCGAACAGCTGCAGCTGGACATCCGGGGGACCCGCTTTGTTCGCATCTCTGAAAGTCCATAAGTCGAATGTTCATAAGTAGAGGCGTCCCTGTCACACCAATGCCCTGTCCCCGACATGTCTCACTTGTAACCCCCTCGTCTGGTCACGGAAGATCCTCTTCTGCAAGAACATTAGCCAATGCAAAGACAAGCGTGCGACCTGGCGGGGAGATCTGAGCGTGGGCAACGCCAGCATCGTAATCACCCACCTGCGGCCGGAGGACGTTGGCAACTACACCTGCGAAATCTTCTGCGATAGTGAAGGCACTAGGAACAAGACCACCGTTCAACTGACCGTGCAACAAGGTGTGTCTGTGTGTGTGTGTCTGTGAGCGACGCTCACAACAACGAGCTGAGCGCCGGGTGGCTAAAGCACAGCAAGTTGGCACAGTAGGGGGCACAGGTGGTGCATCAGCCAGTAATCCTTGTCATCTCAGTTGACCCGTGGCACCTGGGTCTGCCCCGTGACCTCCTGGAAGCGGGCGTTCGACACTTCACGTGGCCTCAACGTGAACATAGCCTGGCACAAGCGCTGTGGGGACATTACCGCCACTTAGTGGCGAATGGCAGTTGTTGTTGGTGTATCGTGGGGAGCGGTGGCCTAGCGGTCAGCGCTGCACTGCCAACCCGGTGAACTGGGTTTAGATTCCCACTTGCAGCCACCAACACCACCAGTGACTATTATCTGAATCGATCCTGGATCCTTCCCAGGTCGACTCAGCATCAAATGAGTACCTCGTGCGGTCTGTAAACATCGCTACTGGGGAGACAAAGGCGGCCGGTCGTGATGTTGGCCACCCACCCTGCCGTGTTCTGTGCCGGTCTATATATAGCTGCTTGCTTGCCCCAACAATCTGTTCAGGCTATGTGATGGGGAATCTTTGTCTTTGTCAGTGCATTGTTATCACGGCCACACCTAAAAGACAAAGACTAATATCCCCCGTCTAGCCTCTAACAGACTGTGTGGGCAAGTTGCTGTTCGCGAATAGCACCTATGAAGGCCGGCAATGTGGCACACGAAGGGGTTGGTGGCCTAGGGGTTGGTGCCACGTCAAATCAAGGGCTCCTAGAACACCGCGTTTTGGCGTCGTTACACATCGATTGCCCATGGGTTTATTGTTTATTTTTCAGGTTCGCAGACCATTCCACCAGACGTCTCAGAGTCGTCGTTCGGTGAGTGGAGATCTTGGTCGCTGTTACTCCGTCTTGAGCACCACAGCGCGCCAACGGGAATCAGTCGGGGGTCACTTCGTTAAAGCGTCACCTGCCACCAAACTCCCCTTCTATAGACTCACACAGACAGAGACGGACATTTAGAGACCCATAGACTTGCATATAGACACAGAGACTCCGAGAGACACACAAACACACAAAGACTAACACACAGAGAGAGGGAGATATTGACTCTCATAGACTCACACAGTTATACAGAGACCCATAGACTCATCACACAGAGACCCATAGATTGATCACACAGAGACCCATAGACGTATCACTCAGAGACCCATAGACTCAAAAATAAACCCACAGCCCCACACAGAGCCCCATAGACTCATCACACAGACACCCATGACTCATCACACAGAGACCCATAGACAGATAAAGAGACCCATAGACTCATCACACAGAGAGCCCCATATACTCATCATACAGAGACCCATAGACGAATCACTCAGAGACCCAAAGACTCATCACACAGAAACCCATAGACTCATCACACTGAGAACGATAGACTCATCACACAGAGACCCATAGACTCATCACACAGAGACCCATAGACTCATCACACAGAGACCCATCGACGAATCACTCAGAGATCCATAGACTCACACATAGACCCACAGACCCACACAGAGACCCATAGACTCATCACACTGAGAACGATAGACTCATCACACAAAGACCCATAGACTTATGACACAGAGACCCATAAATTCATCACACAGAGACCCATAGACGTACAGAGAGAACCATATACTTACAGAGAGACCCATAGACTTACAGAGAGCCCCGTAGACTCCCCATACCGAGACCCATAAACTCACACAGTAACCCATAGATTCATCACACAGAGACCCATAGACTCTCACAGAGACCCATAGACTCATCACACAGTACCGCATAGACTCATCGCACAGAGACCCATAGACTCATCACACAGAGACTCATAGACTCACCACACAGAGACCAACAGACTCTCACAGAGACCCAGAGACTCACCCAGTAACCCATAGACTCATCACACAGAGACCCGGAAAATTGTTAACACTCCTGAGGACAAAAATGCACAAAAGAGTCACGCAAACCCAATGCACGCAAGCGTGTGTGTGCGCGTGTGGACTGATAGTATATTGATTTATTTTCTGCCCTTTAGTTTCCAGACATGAAAAACAAGGTCGCAACGTGGTAATCGGCGTCTGCGTCGCCTCCGTCCTGGCGATCGTGGCTGCGGGCTTAGCGATCCGAGCGAAGCGGAGGAGGAATCTCGCCCGCGCTGGCGGCGGTGACGTCCATCCCGCCCTGATGAGCCAGCATCCCGGTGGCCAGCCCGCTTCGGTGGTGCACATTCACATCTTCAGCGGCGATGGCGGTGTCGGTGGTGAAAATTAACTTCTTCTTCAGCATGGGTGGCGTCGTCGGCCGGACAGACGGAGAACTACTCAGTCTGCTTTCAAGGATGTGGTTAATGCCGTACTTCATATAATCGATGTTCTGTTTGAATCTATTAGCACCTGTTTTATTGCCAGAATGAGTAAACACCTTTTCTAATTTTTCATACTTTTATAGTGGCTAAAAGGTCCCCATGATATAACCCATAGAAACGTTTATTATGGATATTGGTTATGAAAGCACTACTACTACTAAGTGTGTAAACTGGTAAACCCTATAACTTTGTGTGTTTTTGCTGCAAGGCCCTAATTGTCCCTCATACAGCAACATAAGTGGTGTCAATAAATGTCTGCTCAGTCTGAGCCCTAAGACTGGAATGTCCACTCGTGACTTCCTAAGATGGGAATGTCTACTCGTGACCTCCTAAGCTGGGAATGTCTACTCGTGACCTGTTTTATTGCCAGAAAGGGTAAAACCTATTCTTATATTTTGATACTGGCAAGAAAGGTCTCATGATGTAGCTGCTCACCCTGAGCTATAAATGTCCTGATATTGGCATTGTCCTTGTGTTGTTAGCCATTTGGCATCCTCTGGTCTGGCATTGGTTGAGACGAGGCTCTAAACAAAGCTGTCTCTGGTGTGGATCAATCAGTTTCAAAGACGATGCATCATACTCTCTGGTTCTTTCGGTAAAGTCATTTAGATTTTTTTTTTTATAGAATATGACGTTTCGACTGCAACACAAGCAACCGTCATTAGGTAGAACTAAATTTGAGAGAGAGACGACACACAGACACGGAAACACACAGACACACAAGCAGAGAGAGACACACACATAGACACACAGAGACCCAATGCCTTTGTGTCGAGGCCTTAAATAAAGAGAGGGGGGGGGCAGAGAGAGGTGGGTCTGCTGGAGCAGCTGGAGCAGAGAAATTCGCATGTCACTGAAAGACCCAACAAGACTGGTACATTTTAGAGAGACTTGTATGAAAATCCACCCCGAAGCGACCGAGGGAGAGAAAGAGCGAATAAACCTATGAGAGCCTGGTAAATTTTAGAGAGAGAAATAGGCAGTTTGAGATGTTTCAATCAAAACAAATGTTTTAAACAATGCATCATATACTACCAACGCATGTTTTTGTTTGCATGTTCACCACAAGTACGTGTGTGGTTAATGCAGTGACATGATTCCTTGAAAAGGTGTCAGTTTGGTGTTTAAACATATTACCACCTCCTGTTCTATTGCCACAAAGGGTAAAACCTATTCTTATTTTTTGATACTGGCAAGGAAGGTCACATGACCCCGCCATCTTGTAATGTTCATGCCCGCGAGGGGTGACGTCACACTGGGATAGGGAGAGCCCGTGACGCCACGAGCACCCCCTCCCCTCACACCGTGACGTCACGAGCGCCGGCACCTGCCCAAAAACGTCACGAGCGCCCGCACACATCCGTGACGTCACGATCGTTCCCCCAACACATGACGTCACGAGCGCCCTTACTCCCCTGTGATGTCCCGATTACCCACACCTCCCCCCTCCACCCCCACAAAACGTCCTGAACTCCTGCACATCCCTCGTGACGTCATGATCGCCTGCGACCCCCCCACCCCTACATGACGTCTCGAGTACCCCCCCCCACCCCGAAAGTCACGAGGCCCGCACCCACCCCCTACATGACGTCATGAGCGCCTGTACCCACCTGCGAAGTCACGATCGCCCGCACCCCACCCTACATGACGTCACGAGCGCCCCCCCTCCAGTGACGTCACGGGCGGGCTCGCGCGCCTAGAGCAGCCGCAGGGAGGCCTCACTGAGTCGGTTGGGGGGGGGATGCGTGACGTGATCAGGCGCACAGCGTGACGCTGCCGTGTGCGGGTGACATCACAGATGTGACGTCACCGCTCACTTGCCGTGCAAAATATATCCATTATTGCGCACCCCCCCCCGCCCCCCAAAATACAAAAGTCTATTTTTATACTTTTTGCATTGTGTACAGTCTGGAAGCTACCCACATGCCAAATTTCAAGTTTGTTGCATGTCGGGAAGGATGCTAAACATTTCGAACAGACACACATATTCACACATTTCCCTTTTATAAATATAGAAGAAATACATGAACCCCTTTGGGTTTATATCAAGTGGGGGGCGAGGAGGGGGGTTCTTGTTATTTACCGTTGCAGTGTGTTTCTTTTATTCAATTGTACACGGGGTGGTGTTTAAAGTCGCTGTCACCACGTCAGAGGGGTCCCCTCTGCGTTTCCCCCCTTCAGTCGCTCAACGAAACAAAAATGGCGGCCATTCGAACGTTCGCGTGGCGGGCGCCGCTTTTGTGACGCGAAACTCCGCGCAGTTCACAACAATCCGAGCCTTATCAGTCCGTACATTCACTTTGGATTGCTTGGAAATACGACGTTTTACACCACCACCCCCGCCACCGCCAGCGATTCGATTGCTGAACAATATTTGTTTAGAGTCTGCGCCTCTCTCTCTGCCCGTGGTGGCTAGATGTTAACTACCTCGCCTGTTATCATCACCACGGTGGCTAGGAGTTGTTAACTACCTCGCCTGTTATCATCACCACGATGGCTAGGAGATGTTAACAACCTCGCCTGTTATCATCACCACGGTGGCTAGGAGATGTTAACTACCTCGCTTGTTATCATCATCACCACGGTGGCAAGGAGATGTTAACTACCTCGCCTGTTATCATCATCACCACGGTGGCTAGGAGATGTTAACTACCTCGCCTGTTATCATCATCACCACGGTGGCTAGGAGATGTTAACTACCTCACCTGGCCTACAGGATGTTGTGGGTTCGATCCCAGACTGACCACGCCTGCTGCTGTATATTTGGAGTCTGCGTCTGGCTCTCACCCCGTGGTGGTCGCGTGGATTTGTCTCCGGGACCTCCGATTTTTTCCGATCCACATTTAGAATCAACATCGCCACACGCGTTTAGAGTGTTTGGCTGATGCTATCACGTCCCACGTAATTAGCCACTGTGTTGAGCTGCGATCAGTAGAAAGGTCACTTCTCAAAAAGAGTTACAAAGCTCAGAGGCCCTTAGGGGCCGTCCATAAATGACGTCACGCGATTTTGGACGATTTTTGACCCCCCCCCCCCCCTTCATCACACGGCGTCACAAAAAGTCAGACCCCCCCTCAAATATGACGTCACAAAGCTCTGCCCCCCCCCCCCCCCCCCCAAATATAAAACATGCTTCAAATCGCTTTAAACTGTTGTTATTGTAGGGCGTATTTAATGTGGCGCTGCACTCTGATGTTGTAAGAGAAAACGTTGATTAAAACGTCTATTTAATGAAGTAGAACGTGTTGTCTTTTTAATTTAAAGTTGCGCATTTTGATGTGACGTCACATTTCTCAAACCTCCCCCCCCCCCTTGTCAAACATCGTCACAAATGTCTGACCCCCCCCCCCCGCCTTACCTGGTAAAGTATTTTTTCTTTAATAATATAGTTGAATAGGTTGATTGGCCTCACATATTTGAGCACAGTAACTGGTGTGGTGCGTGGGTAACATCGCTACTGGGGAGACAAAGGCGGCCGGGCGTCGGTGCTGGCCACCCATCCCCTCATGTGCCACAGTGCCGAAAAGGTGCTGCTGCTACTCGCTCCTAACAGCACTTGCCCCCAGCGATAAATACGAAAACTTCACGGGGAATCTTTGTGTTTGTACATGCACGGCGGTCTTTGTACATGTGTCGTGTCTTGAATCACGGACGAATAAACTCCTTTAAGGCACACACTGTTTAATGTCTTACTCCGACACGGTCCCTAACACACAAGGGGTATACGGTCCCCTTACCCGTTAACCTAAGGAGGTACAGCCTCCGCGCTTGGCGGGAACTACACACGAGTCTACCCGCATAACCTAGCGTCCTCCGGCTGGGACCTAGGGGAGGCTAACTGACCCACCGCTGGCTCGGTGGATCCCCGACCACTGGTCACGCTGAGCCTCAGACCTTAGAAGGGCTGGAAGGCCTGGTCCAGGGTCCTATCTATCTTCAGCCCAGGCTTCGGTCTTCGTGTGTGGAGATCTGCCTCGCGCTCTCAGCGCTCGCCCTTTTATACCGGTTTGTGGCTGGCTCTGTCCAAGCCCACGCTCCCTCGTGGAACCCTCTGATTGGTCCTTCCCAATCTGTCGTTTTGATTCGCTTTCACCTTATCTGACCCCTGGCCGTTTGTCTGGCGGGAATCTGTGATTTCGATCCGCTCTCACCTCTCCTTGACCCCGGCCGCTTTCCCCAGATAGGTAACGCTGCATCGCCCCTTTGATACGTAGTGACACTGCAGGTTACCGAATAGTGAGTAGCTATCATCTCAACACAGGCACGGCGGTCTTTGTCAATCTACTGCTGGATGAGAGCCTCCCTCCCCCACAAAGTGGGGGCCGATTGCCCGTACTGTACTTCATGCGATACTGTACAAGGAGTGATCCCAGCTGGTGATGTCCGGCGATGGAAGCGACTCGTGGCGTTAAGTCCACAGATACGTGTGGGAGAGTTTCATTTATCTCCCTCTGCACTACAGAGTGAGTGGAGTTTGTATAATCACCCTCTGTACTAGAGAGTGAGTGGAGTTTGTATGATCTCCCCCTGTCCTACAGAGTAGTGGAGTTTGTATTACAGTATCTCCCTCTGTACTAGAAAGTGAGTGAGTGGAGTTTGTATGATCTCCCCCTGTCCTACAGAGTGAGTGGAGTTTGTATGATCTCCCTCTGTTCTACAGACGGAAGCTTGTGTTGCCTCCGAAACGTCGTGATTTTATTTTATTTTTTATTTTACTTTTATTAATTTTAATCTTTTACCTACGTGACTTTACCGAAAAAACCCAAGAATATGAATCCTTGCAGTCACGAAAGCTTCAAATCTAGAATTACGACATCTCGCTTGGTGATCGTGACCAGCAGCAGTAACTAATTGGCGTGTTATCATCCACGCGACAAACCTCGACAATTGGCTGTGCCGGGTGAAGCTCATGGGGTTACAACACTTTCACGTTTATCAGAATCTGTATCTATACTGGTGGAATCCGTGTAGCCCTTTCTCATTCCACTGCTGGATGAGGGTCTCCCCCACAGCGTGGGTGCTGTGACAGTTTTCTGACCATTCTGCACCGTGCTGGTCAGTGGGCGATGGTGGCGACGGGGACTTTAGATGTGGGAGCATAGAAGTACAGGACAACAAAGTTACGCCGCAGGTCTGCTCTCCCGTCCAGAATCAGAATCTTTATTTAGACTGCAGGAGGAATCCGATGAGCTATGAAGCTCTTTACTCACAGATGTCCAGAAGGGGGCATGGGGTCATAAAGTTATAACAATACAAATACTTCATAATAAACGTTTT